TGCCGAGGTAAGGTCCCCCGTCCAGCCCCTTTGAGGGGGGTTGGGGGACTTGGAGGTTGGGAGAGAGCCACGCCCGCAGCCTGAAGCGTGGAGGGGTGGGGAAGGGCGCGGAGGTGAGACCCTGTCCCGGAGATGGGGAGAAAGGGGACCGGGCAAGCTGCTCCTCCCCAGCTGGCCCTTGGCGGTGCGCCTCTCCCAAACCCTGGAGGGCGTAGGGCTTGCGCCCACTCTCTACCCCTACAGCCCTGCCCTAGGCGCTGATCCTTCCCAGCCCGCGTCCCAGGAACCGCTTTTGCCGGCCCAGCCATTGCTCCCCTCCTTCCCTCCCTCCCGGACGTCTGATTCCTCGAGAGCCCTGCGGACGCGCAGTGACGTTCTTTGCGAGTGGGGAGGGGACTGTTGGGGGTTGGGTGCTTGGACACAGCAGGCAGCGCTCCCACCTAGGTAGCCTCTAGTTTGGGTGGCACAGAGCCGCGCATGCAGGCCGGGATAGGGGGAGGGGTGCGAACCTCCGAGGCAGCAGGATTGAGGGGGCGCTTTGGGGACTTTCTTGGGCTCTTGCGCGCAAGCCGCGCCACTGTCAGGTGGGATCTAAGACGAAGATCCTGTCACCCCTGGCGCTTTCTCCCACTAGCACCCCTACACCAAGGCCCGGGTCCAAGAGGGCGGACTCCGAACATCTATCTTTTCTCCAGGAGTCCGCCTGACACCCCTACGGATGCCCATCTCTGGATCCGTCCCGCGGGTAATCAGGCGCGGCCTCCTGGCGCAGAACTGGGTCCAGCCAGCGCCCCTGGCTCGCTGGGGTCGCCGAGCGCCGTCCTCCCGAGCAGGAACAGTAAGGGCACCAGTTCCACTGACCCAGGACAAAAGCGAGTTCTTTTCCTACTTCCAAGACCCTGTTCCCCGCCCCAGAGAAGAGAGAATTGGGTTCGTGGCGGGGAGACACCCGCCTGTGCGCGGGCCCCGGTAGGCTCGGGCCTGGGTGCCCTTGAGCCCGCCCGGGGCCTCCTTCCGCCTGGGCTGCTGCAGGCTTGAGTCCCGTTTCTATTTGCAGCCAGGCGGGTGCTCCCTCCCAGCCCCCGGCAGCTTCCCCACCTCCCCGGCTGCCTGGGAGATTTTTCCGATGGAAGCCTGCCCTTCCCCGCCCTACTTTAATAAAAGCACGGAGGAAGGGCAGGGAATTCCTCCCAGCTCAAGTTACACCTCCCAGCCAGTTCCCCACCTGCTCTGCCCTCCCTCTCTGGCCTGGCCAGGGGAAAGCTACAGGGAGCCAGGCCCTGGCAGGAGACAGAGTGGGAGCCCAGCTCCAGCCCAGTCCAGCTCTTCCACTCCCTTCCCCCATTCACAAAGACAGGGGGCTTATAGGAGGCTCCTGCTGGTGGGGATTGTCCTTCAGCCTGCCATTCAGGTACTGGGCAGAGAGTGCTGTCAGGGCCCACCTGCCACTCTCTGGAGGTGAATACCAAAGAACTGCAAGTCACAGACCCACCCCTGAGGAGTTTATAATCTATTTAGGAATGGCATCTCTGCACAGAAAGCTATTCTGAACCAAACTGGAATTTGGTGGTCAGGCATTGTGAATTCACATCTTAGATGGCCAGGAGCTGGGGCACTGGGCCTGTGCTCTGAGGGCCTTCATTCTCTCTTTCTTTTGCTTCTGTTACTCCATCACCACCTATTCTCCCAGCTGAGTGAGTACCCATAGCCCAGGGCCTGCATTGGCGCCACAGGTCATGGCCCTACACCTGTGGTGACACTGGCTAAAGATTCTGACTGACCTGCAGCCCCTCTCCTCAGGAAAAAAGTTGATTTGGGCTGTTGCTAGAAGAAGCTCTGGAAGGTACAGAAGACCCTTTAATGTTGGAAGCCAGAGTAGATGGAGGGCTAGAGACAGATGGGCTATCCCAGATCCTAGAGTTGGCTTTGGGGTGCAGGCTGT